GACGCCTTGGCCACTTGCCCTCGGCACAGCCTTGAGCCTTGGATGTCCCAGTCTTATCACAGTCTCTTCATGGGCACCTCGAGGACCCAGTGGCCAGGCTCCCCRAGGCCTGGAGGCTGCCAAGACCACTCATGCTCAGGAAGCAGCTCCTTCTAGGAGCAATCTTTCCAGGTGTTAAGGTCCTCCATTTRTCTCAGCCCCGTTGCCGCAGTGCCCTGGGGACGGGTGGAGACGAGTTGACCTAGGGAAGGACAGTTAGCAGGGCTGAGGAAAGCTTAAATCTGACCCAGTATTGTGGACCAATGCCACTCTGGAATGGAAGAGCCCACCCTGGGGAAGCCCTGCCTTGTCCCCCGTGAATCCTTTCCCTCCCTCCTGCTCCCCGTATCCACACAGCGTCCTGAGTCTGGAGGAGACCCCTTCCAGCCCCCAACATGGTCCCCAAAGGGGGAGGAGGGGACCACCAGCTAGGACGGGGCACTTGGYTCTAAGTAGACTGAAAAGGGAAAGATTTAGATGAGGCAGAAGAAAGGAGTTTCTGATGATGGAAAYTGTGAGAGCAGCTTGCAGACAGAAAGATCCCTCCTGGGGAATTCAGAAATTGAACAAAAACCCATCTGCCAAGAATGAAGAGGCTGTCCTTCAYAGAGGAGGAGAATGGCCTAGAAAGCGACCCCAATGGTCTCTTCCAATCCCAGCTCAGTGCTGAAGAGGGAGAGTAGCACAGACCCTCCACCAAGTCCTTTCCCCTGCAGTCAGCCCCATCCTGAGCCACTGAACAATGCCTCCAGGGTCTCTGCTCTAGTGCAGCCCCAGGCCTAGCAGAACTTGAAGTGGCCTGAAGAAATCCACAATAGACAAGAGCCCTCCTGCACGTGTGCATGAAGCTTTGCAGTTTTTGAAAGACCCATGAATCACCAACTACCTCCTCAGGGGAGAAATCAGAGGCAGGKATCTATCCAAGCCCCCACCAAACTCCAGTGATAGGTAAGGCCTGTCCCCTGATGTTGTCCCTTCCAGATGCTGTCCCCAAGACAGACAGAGAGCTCCTCGGGGCCTGCAGTGGCTGTCCTGCTGATCGACAGGGTGATCCCTCCCACAYGGGGAGTTGGTACCAGGACTCCAGGTCAGAGTCACTTTCACAGGTGTCCTGCTGCAAGTGGCCCTCACAGGCCAGGCAMCAAGGCAGGTGCATCCTCCTCGGTGGGATTTGGGAAAAGGTCACCCTGATGGCCCAGGGAAAGGCACACAGAGCAGTGAGTCCTGGAGCAGAAAAGGGCACTGAGAAGGGGAGGCTTTCAGCCCYGGTCCAGCTTAGTCAGAAGCAAATGGCCTTCAGCAACTCGAGTCCTTCCCAGCAAGAGCGAGGTAGTTCGCCCTGGGGACGGGTGGTCCTTTTGTGCCTTGGCCACCAGTTGAGACCCCCTGGGAAAGCTGAGTGCACTGGGAAAAGGCTGTCAACATGCTGATGTGCTTGGGCCCAGGGTTGCCCCATCTGGAACCCAGCCAGGGACACAAACCAGGAAAAGGCCACTGCACGGTGACTTATAATTGCAAGAAAAAAAAAAAAAAMATTCAGGTACCCAATRGCCAGAGAGTGGTCAAGTTGAATAAGCTACATCAATTCACCAAAGTACCCTGTGGTCACCACAAAGGGAAAATATAAATAGAGACATTGCCATGGTAAGCTTTCATCCTAGGACATGGAGTGGATCAAGTGTGGCATCAATGTCCACACTCCAGCTGCAGCGCTGTGATTGTGAGCGTGTGGATGTGGGACACGAGCCCAGCATTACAAAAATGAGTGGGTAATTTTTCTTTTTCAAAAAAAAATTCACATTGTTTTTTCAAGTAGAAAGAAAATAATTTTGCAGAAAAATAAAATGTAATGACATAAATAAAATGTTAATTTATTATTAATGAATAAAAATATCTATCATAAAAGACTCATGCAAATGTATAGATAGTCCAAAAAATTAGATCAACAGACTAGGGGTGCAGCTCAGTGGTAGAGCATGTGCTGAGCATGCACACCGCCTGGTTCTGATCCCTAGCATCAAAAACAAACAAAAAGTCAAGTCAGGATGGGCACGGTGCCATATGCCTATAATCTAAGCGGCTCAGGAGGCTGAGGGAGGAGGATGGCGAGTTCAAAGCCAGCCCCAGCAAAAGCAAGGACCTAAGCAACTCAGTGAGACCCTGTCTCTAAATAAAATATGGCTCAGTGTTTGAGTGCCCCTGAGTTCAATCCCCAGTACCAAAAAGAAAAAAGAAAAAAAAAAAAAAAAAGAACAGCAGTGTGTCCAAAATTACCAATAATATCTCTTAAGTTGTGGACAATAGATTACTTATTCTTTGTTTTATGTTATTTTTCCTAAACTTTCTCCAAAGACTATGTCTATATTGAGAATTAAAATACAGATACATAGATACAGAGATGGGGGATGGATGGATGGATGGATGAATGGATGGATGGATGGATGTGGGGTACATGAGTGGATGGATGGATGGACAGATGCAGAAAGAAAAAGAGAGAAAAGGAGGGAGGAGGGAAAGAAAAGGAAGGAAAGAAGATGGTTGGACAGATGGATGGAAGGATGGTTGATAGATATGTCTCCTTCCCTCCCTCCCTCCCTTCCTTCCTTCCTTCCTTCCCTCCCTCCCTCCCTTCCTTCCTCTCTCCCTCCCTCCCTCCCTTCCTTCCTTCCTTCCTTCCTTCCTTCCTTCCTTCCTTCCTTCCTTCCTTCCTTCCTTCCATCCCTTCCTTCTTCACTGGGATGAAACCAGGAGCACAGCTTCAGCCACCCCAGACCCTGCTCAGAGCCTGTGAAGGACGCAGACAAAGGCCCTGGGGTCTTGGTCTCCAGAGAGATGGGAGGTGAACTGGGGGCCCAGAAAGGTTCAGGTCTTCACCAGCAAGYGGAACCAGAACACCCATGGGACTCTCAGGGGCTCATTCATTGGTTCCTTCAGCTGTTGGGGCTCCTTGGCTGGGAGGGTGCACACGCTGGACGATCCCAACACTGGACAATCACTGCAGTCACCAAGGAGCACCCAAGTCCTGTGGGAGCTCAGGGAAGAGAGTGGCCAGGCCACCGCCAGGCAGGGTGAGAGATGTCTGAGGCCCACTTGGGCAGTRGGCAGGGTGTCACCAGACAGAATGGGAATAAGGGTCACCGGGTCAGGAAGCAGCATTGGAGCAGATGCTAAAGTAAGGAAAAGAGGCGCATCTCCAGAGCCAGCAGGCTTCCTTGTGGTGAGATGCACTAGGGGGATCTATGCCAAACTTCTGGAAAGAAGAGGGTCAGCCATGGGAGCCAGTCATATGGGGACCAAACCAGGTATTACCATCCTGAAGCCTGTATAGGACTTAAAAGAAAAAACAAAAAAAAAAGTATCTTTCTTTTTGCAAAGTTTATAAAAACAGGTTGCACAGGTGAGTCCCCAGAGGGGAGCCTCTTCACCTTGAGGAGAGTCCACCTCTGCACCGTGTGCTGTGGGGAACCTGCAACGGCCAAGGGTCTTAAGGTAAGGAGTGACACGGCGCCATCTGCATTTTAGAAAAATAGCATCACTGTGCATTGCCATCAGATCTCATCAGCCAAAGCAAAACAGTGCTCTGGTCACCAGAGGCACACCCTCCTGGGGTATGCAGCAGGGGCAGCTGAAAGTCTCAGAGACCCTGGCTTCTGGGCACAGCTGTTTCACTGAYAGCCGAGAACCCGCTTTCTGCCCACTTCCTGTCCTCTCAAGAGGCAGGGATGACGCCCACCCAACGGTGTGTCCTGGAATGCAATGTGTCATTTGGCAGTGCCAAGCCAGCACTCCAGGCAGCCAATCAACCCAAAGACTGCCACCGTCAGCCAGCTGCAGTGACGGGCCTTCAGTTTCATCTTAGCCCCCAATTTCCTCTTGGTTCTTCCTCTGGGCTGAGATAGGTAGAGACTGGATAGCATATCATCCCACGCCCTGGTGAAGTGCTCAAATAAAGGCACCAAGCCTTCAGCTTGAAGGCTTTTTGGTTAAAATGCTGCCAACTAACATATGCGACAGATGCTGAAAACCTGGGGAGCACAGGGAGCCTCACACCAGCTCCCACTCTGGGCCTCGGTGTCCCTGGCTGTGCCACGGGGTGGGTGGATGACAAGCCCCACCTGGGGCTGTGGATGAGAAATGGCCTATAAAACTTTCTGTAAAGCTCTGTACACCTATAAAGTGCTATTAAAGTAATGACTATAGCTTATGATCAAAACCGAAGGATGAACAGGGGCCCATTGGGCCCTCCCAAGACCCACTCCTTGGCCCAGGGGGCCTGGGAAAGCACAAGGCTACCCTTGACTCAAACAAGTCTCAACTGCTTTGCCATGGAGAGAGGCCAGGCAGAGGTGACCTGCACRGGCTGAGTAATCATCCGTGTTCCCAGGTACTTTTTGGCTGCAAGTGTAGCCCTAACCTCACCAAGTGCCACACCATGTRCCGAGCTCCCGGCCTCTCCACAGCGTGCCATGAGTCTCCAAGAGCCCAGGGCGAGTTGCTATGCAGCACCCACAAACACAGAGGCCAGGACAAGTGAGGTGTTCTTCAAGATTATTTCATAAAGAAGAAAATAGTGTGGGAGTCTCAAGTAAGCACATAATTGGAGAAAACTCACTTTCTATCTTCAGGTGGCCCAAAAAGTGCGGAAAGTCCTCACAAGGAGAAAACTCTTCTTCCTGTGGGCTGTGAATCGATATTTGCTGTCAATGTCACTGATAGAGSCACCGTTACCAGTGTGTGAATTAGGATTTCTCCCTCTGGTATGATTTATAAAATAAAATAAACCACTCTGAYAAGATACCAATTTTAAAAATAAAACGGTGATGCAGAAAACATTTTGAGACCCAGGCCTCACTCAAAACCTTGATCTTTTTGCAAACCTGTATTTCAAATGACAGAAGGGTCACGGTACAAAAACGTTTATTTAAATTAAATATTTTCAACAAATCAATATTCCAACTGTTGCTAGCATGCATGGTTCTTATAAAAAGTGGAACAGTTGAGCTTCATGTCTGTGGTGCTATTTTACAAGATTATCAATACACATTCTCGACTGGACTCCAGTCAATCATATCACCAATGATTTACTATTTATTACCAAATGGCATATACAGTAACAATGTAAAGATTAACCTTGTTTTATAAGTGATTTTACAAGAAGACGTCTCAGGAGAAACATAGGTCAACAATACAAAATATAAGGTGAAATAATAGAAGAATATAGAAAACACACTTCACACAGGCAATATGCTGCTGTCAGAAGAGAGCACGTGTCTGTCAGCTGACTGTTGGGTTTGTTCCTTCAAAGGAGGTTTGGGGAGGGTGGGGATATTGGGGTGGCCAGGGCTCAGAAACACTTTCAGTCACAGTGAGTTTCTGGTTTGGGACGTGAACCTCAGGAAGGTGCATCAAGGAAGCTGCTCCAGAAATCAGCTGAGGAGGTCCTGACTGGCGGGTGAGGCAAACCAGTCCCTCGTGGCCAGAGGAATCACACCTGGGCTTTTAAGTCAGGGCTCTTTGAGTTAGGAACCAATTCAGGGTGCAGGAAGAAACAGGAAGAGAGAAGGAAAAGCCAGGAAAGAGAAAGAGGGAGCCGAGAGAGTGGGAAGCCATGTCCAGAGGGGAAAGTGTGCTGAAATCCTGCTCAAGAAATCAACACATCAGATGCACTGCATTGTTGCAACACTCTTTTAGGTCCCTGGCTCTCTGGGTCACTCAGAGCCAACAGTGGGCGGAAGTTGCCATTGCTGAGAATGTTGGATTGAGGCTGCACGTGTGTGTCTAGGAGCATGCATGGGTGAGCCTCTCAGACTGTACCCGATCTTGAAGTGTGTGTAATAAAAAAGAAGAATTTATCTAAAACATATATTTTTTAAAAAGTTTGAATTCAGTCTCATTTCCAGTGAYGCAGTTAACCATCCTGGTTAATTTCCCAAGTCAGGATGAGTGTCTGTCAAATTGGAAGACCCTTTGGGAATTCTAGGGCGAGGGAGGAAGGGAGCACAGAAAGCAGAAGGCTTGTGTCCTTAGGCTGGGCGCACGAAGCGCTCCCCAGGCTGCGCGCGTTAATGGGCTCATCAATGAGAAGCTCCCTGCTTTCCTCTTGTAAGCCTGGAGAAAGCCCTGACTCAGAGGGACTCAGCTACTGTGTCCATCCTTCACTCTGCAGGGGGCAGAGCAGAGGGAAGAGAAGCGGGGCAGGCTTGGGTTTCACTTTGCAGCAGATCCAAGACAGGACCTTAGGGCCAGGGTCCAGACCCAGGGCTCTTCTCACCCTCATTTGGAGCATCCAGAGATCAGGCTGTGTCAAAACAGAAGAGGGTCTGGTGCCGCCTGAATTCCCATCACTGGTTGTAAAGGTGGGGACAGGAAGAGAGGGCAGGGAAAATCCTACTGGGAGACAGTCTTGGCAACTGGAGGCCATGCTCCTGGGATGTAGCCAAGGACGCTCATTTGAAGGAACAGAAGAGGCACTGGACCAGCAGAGCCTGCCTCCTGGCAGCCGAAGGTCCAGGAGGAAAGCCAGCGGCACTGCGTAGTCTCTGCTCCACTCAGCGCACAGGAAGGACAGGGTGGCCAGGGCTGGCCCAGACTCCTTGCCTCTGACTCTAGGACACACTGTAGCTGTTGTAGTAAGTGGCAGTCGCATCAGCCAGGACGGAGATGAGGCTGGTCTCTGTGGGGCCCGATGGGGTCACCTGGGAGAGTGGGCCATGGCCACTGAGGGCGCCAGSCCCAGCAGCAGAGTCTGGGTGACCAGGAGTGTTCAAATACTGGTCGAACTCATTGCGATCCATGTCCCCTAGAAGTTCCACCTGGCTCAGTTGATCCAGAGCATCGAAGCCAGGGGGCTCKGGAGGTGGGGAGAGCTGGCCCAGGTGGGCCTGGAGGTTGGAGTGGAGAGGGTGGTAGGTGGCAGGAGAGTAATAGGCAGGAGATGGCGGGCAGCCAGATACAGTGGACATCATAGAGACCCCCGGGGTCTGGCCAAGGGTCAGAGATCCCAGGGGGTGGCTGCAGTGGAGGGGGCTGGGGGCCAACTCCGGGGAGTAAGGGGGCCCCGGCAGGTGGGGCAGGTGGTGGGGGTGGGCGTGCTCCTCCTGGCAGGGGGAGGAGAAGAAGGTCTGCTCCGGCTCCAGCACGTCCAGGGGAGACATCTCCGGGGGCGTGGGCAGCCCATACGGATACGTGTCCACGCTGCCAGCGGCGCCGCCACCAGCTGGGCCCTCGTGGTAGCAGCCCCGGAGGCCGGGCAGGGCAGCGCCCGGGGAGTACTCACCCCTGCCCTCCTTCTCCCCCAGCGCCCCGCGGCCGCCGCTCTTCTCSGGCAGCGCGTTCTGGTCTCGCGAGAGCGAGCTCAGGAGGAAGCCGGGGTCCACGCGCTTGCAGAGGCGCTTGGCCTGCTTCTTCCTGCGGGGCCGGTACTTGTAGTTGGGGTAGTCCTGCATGTGCTGCAGCCGCAGCCGCTCCGCCTCGTCCACGTAGGGCCTCTTCTGCGACAGCGTCAGGGCCTTCCACGACTTTCCTGCTCGCACAAGCCAGAGAGGGCCACGCTCAGCGACTGCGCTACTGGCCTGCGGGTGCACCTGCTGCGCCCGCGCCTTCTCGCCCCGCACACGCACCCCGCTCACTCACGCCCTCCTCCCTCACGACACCGCCTTCTCTCGGCCTCACAGCCTCTTCCTAGCCCAGATCCCGCTTAGAGAAGCCCAACGAAGCCCTCCTGCCTGAACCCTGCACAGCCACGTCACGCGAACGAACGCGCACAAAGACCATGCCTCTCCTCCAAGACCAAACAGATGACCTGACAACTAGAAACTGGGATCAGATGTCCGCGACAGGGGGAAAAAACGATCTAACAACCACTATGACATTTATTGGGGGGTATTTTTCCTCCTTAAGAGTCGATTCTAATATTTTTTGCATTTTGATGAAAATTCCGGGTCTCTTATGACATAAATGTCACAGCCGATATGTGAGGGAACCCAGGCTCAGTCAATAGTTTCACAGATGCAGATAAAGTCCAAGGTCTCACTTAGGTGAACACATGGCACTTCTTTACCTCTGAAGGTCCAACAGGACTCTGCTGTATGAAGACCTGAGCATGGCCAGAATGCTAGCATCTGTAGGCAACCCCAGAACACAGAAGACAGCCTCCCAGCCACCCCTAACTCCCCTAGGGCTCTCACTACAGTAAAAATACTATGTGTACCCAACTTAAAACTGTGGTACCCAAGCACTCTGCACTGCCCAACACAGAGCTCTCTCTTTAAGAAACATCCCCCTCACATAACCCACTTATGCTAAAATGCTGCCTGAACTTGTTCCATTTGTTGTTCCTTGTCTGTTGTTTTGCAAGTCACTTTGTGTCTCTTCTCCATTTCTCAATGTACGTTGTACACCCCTCTGCTCCAACCTTTTCTGAGGGTCTCTTCTAGACCCCTTGGATCCATTCCTCTAAGGGTTAGGTCAGAATTCTACAACTTTAACATGTTCCCCCACGACTCTAATGTATTCTAAAGTTTGAGACCCATTAGCTGAGAGGTCAAGGCCTCTGGCTAAGCCCTGTAAGGAAAGGGACCTCATCTTTCACCAGGCACAGTCAGCACAGGGTCAACTGCAGAGTCATGTGCATGGTAATCACCAGTGCCCAGACTGGCTGGCTCTATGGGCCAGGCCCTCAAAGATTTTAGGCTGGGGGCTAAGGGTTCAAGGAGGGCAATTATTAAAGGGGTTCTCCCCCTTGGGTGAAAGTTTATAACTGTTACAGGGAATTGTTAATTGCCATAATTAGCTATCACTTTAAAAAGTGACTTGAAGAGTGTTATGAATTCAAGATTCAGATCTACACATTGGTTTCCAGCCTGCAGCTAAGACCACAAAGCTCTTGCAAGAGGCCCATTGGTCCAGACACAATGTACACTGTATGATCTGAATATAAAATATGACTCTAGTATCTAAATGTACTTGGATGTTGTGATATTAACAAAATACAGATTTGTTTTTAAATGCTACCAAGTATCTAATTGTCTTGATGCACTTTCTCATTCATAATACACTGAAAATACTAGTGTAACCAGGTGATATTTTGAAGTTTGGAAGGCCTATATTGGAAATAGTTGAAACTCACATTCAGGTCAGAAAAGGAAGGGCTGAGAAAGACCATAGTGTGGAAATAGCTCATCCTGCTGCCCCTGSTTAACAGGTGCACAAAGTCCCTATTTTAGAAAGCAACACTGTGTGGGTTTCCCTCACCCAGTTACACAGGCTGTGACGCTAAACAGGAAGGAATTAGTGTCTTTCCTGCAAAATGAACTGTAACCTCTTGGAGTCTAGGTGCCAATCTAGACAGAGATCAGCTCACAGGAGGACTTCACCTCCTGAGTCCCTTTGCTTGACCCTTCCAGGGAGCAGGCTGTCTCAATTTGTAGGGCAGGTCTCCCTAGCCTTTCTTCTCCTTCCATCTCTGCCTGCACCTGCAACAGAAACCTGGGTACAACTAGAGGCTCCTGTTGTGCTTGGTCAATAGGACCCACAGGAGGAAAAAAAATTTTTTTTATTTAAATATTTTTTTATTTAAAAATATTTTAAAATCTGAAGAAAATATAAACTTTTAGGTGGAAGAAAAAAATTATTGTATATAATAGCATATTTTTTATTTATGCTAACAGTACAAAATATACATTTTGCTATCTTGTACAGAGGAAAGTGCACAGGAAGGCACCAGCCCACCAACACAATGTGGGCACATCTATACCACAAGACCAGCGGGTGGGCGAGGGGCTCCTGGAACCCAGCATTCCCCCAGCTGCTTCTCTGGGTCTCTAACTTGCGGAGTGCTGAGTTTTGCTGGCCTGCAGCTTGAGCCAGCATAAATCGGGGAGTCAGTCTTCATCCATGGTTCTGCCAAAGGAAGGAGCCCTGTGCTCATAAGGAAAAAGGAAGGGCTGCATTCCCGGTGGGTGGGGTCGGGTGACCACTCATGTCCCTTCTCACAGGGCCTGGCGCACACTGTGAGCACAATGTACTTTGAAACACTTTCATTGGTTAAAATGAATAAAAACCAAGTCAAAGGGCAAAGAGGTCTGAGTAAGGCAGAGTTGGAAAGTGTTCAGCTTTAGGCATAGGAGAGAACATGAACCCCAGCGCCAACTCGGGTTTGTTCTGAAATGCTCACTCCCTCTTGATACCCTCACGTCCTGATATCCCCACTCTCTGCCTCAGGCTTGGCCCGTCCCAGGCCCCAGCCTCTGCCGTGGCAGCATCGCAGCAAGAAAATGTAGGGCTCCAGAACAGACCCTTACTAGCCGCCCTAACCATCTGCATCAAGTTGCCTACACTCCTAAGCCAGAAAGAGTAATGAATCAAGTCTATTTAGGTAGACTATTTTCCCTGCTGTTTAATAATTAAGTTAACTCAAAGATTCGTCCCGCAAGGCCTTCCTTTATATATATTCGTTTTAGCTTTATCTGTGACGATCTCCCTCTGATTGTCCCAGTCGTATAGTGCAGGGAATGATGGATCTTCCCGCTTCAGTCTTCCCATCAAAGGCCAGTTCCACCCAGCCTCGATGTTTCCGTTCTGGCTCTCTCTGTCTATGTGCGCGGGTCCCTGTCGTCAGACTGCCCGGGCTTGGCCACTGCTGTGTCGCTCCCGCCCAATGGGGCCCCTCTCTAGGCTCCAGTCCCGAGGAGGGGCTTCCCCGGAAACCTGGGCTGGTCGCACGGTTTAGCTTTGGACCTCGCTGGCCAAGATGTCCAGGCTTTGATTCCCGGCACTGCACGCACCCACGCTCGCACAGATGCCCAACCTCGCCCTCACAGCTAGCGCTGAGTCCCCACCCGTCGGGTGGTACCCACCCTCCACGAGCCCGCACCGGCTAGACTCAGGTCCGCCGCGCCCCTGGCCCGCTGACCTCCGGGTGCGCCTAGCCCGCCGCGGGGCCGCAGGATCACTCACCCAGCATCTTGCTGAGCTCGGCGTTGTGCAGGTCCGGGTTCTGCACCGCCAGCCGTTTCCTTTCGTCCTTGGCCCACACCATGAAGGCGTTCATGGGCCGCCGGATACGGCTTTCCGAGCCCTTGTCCCCCGGGGGGCGGGGGGCTGCTGGCGGCGACAGACCATCAGACAGCTCAGCTTCCAGGGCGGGACACTCGAGCCCCTCGGGCCACGGGTAGGCTCCCAGCAGAGAGGCCATGGCCGCACGGGGGTTGCTGGACTTCGCCTTGCCGGGCCTGCGCTGACCTGGCCCTCGATCGGGTCGGGGCGTCCAACTTGGCCGGCAGCCTCGGACCGGCCCCTTATTTATCAGCTTCGGACGGCCGGGTCCTCCAATGACTCTCGAARGCGGCGCGGCCCCTCCCTCGGTCGCAGCGTAGCCCCCTCCCTGCGTCCCCGGCGGCCGCGGAGTCCCGGCCCCGACCTGCCGCGAGGGGTGTGGAGGAGGGAGGACCTCTCCCGCGCCCGCCCCCGGCCCGCCCCTCGGCTCCTAGGCCCGCCTGGGGATCCTCGCCCCTCCCGCTCCAGGCCGCAGGTGCCGCAGAGCGGCCAGGCGGGCGCAGCAGGCGGTCACCGCGGCTGGGCTCCCGAGAGGTCTGGTCCAGCCCCCAATCCCAACGGACCGCGGCCTCAGAGGGCCGAACTCCACCAACTCCGCCCGCAACGGAAAACCGAACCCAAGCCGCTTTCACTAGGATCGTCCGGGCGCGGGAGACGCTGACCATGAAGCCCCCCGACMCCCAGATCAGCCAGTGAGCGGTTCTTAAGCTTTTCTAAAATGACCGGGCTTTCAGCCACCTCCCCCAGTGAGCTTGGGCCGCCTCAGACGCTGGCCTGGGCTGGGCTGGTGGGTGCACCGGGTCTCGCACTTTGTGCAGTGACCTCGGAAGCCTCCCCACGCTGCCCATGCCCGCTAGCTCTCGGGCGGGCATATCTGTAGCCGGTTCTCTGCCATCTGATTTTTTTCTCTTCTTGTGCCCCACCTCAAACCCCAACCTGGTCTCGGGGTGCGAGTCTCCAGCCCCCTCGCCTCTTCCTTCGCGGAATCCCGTTCTTGTATTTTTTCCGATTGAGTGGAGTTGGTCCCGCATGATGCGTCCCCTACCCTTCGGTGTAACCCGTGAGCTCCCCTGTTCCCCACATCCCTTCCTTCCAGGGTACAAGGGTTGCGCATTGGAGCCCATGGCGGTCTCTCTCTGGCAAGGGCCACTAATCTCATGTCACCCTGCTGGATTTGATAGGGCCATTCCCACACTCTTACACCAGCGCTGGCACACAGTAGGCATTCAAGAACTGCTGGATAGGCGAATGAATAAATGAGTGAGCAAATATGGCTTAGACACACCTTACTGCATAAAAAATCAGGGCAGGCTGAACTAGATCCTGGAATTCAACCCACAAATGTTTACGGAGCACCACCCCTGTGCTGAATCTGCAGAGGTGACCCTGGAACCAGGCAGCATTATGGTGGGAGGGTCGTGGAGTCCGGAGTCAGAACCTGCCTTGGTGTGTGGGTTACTGAATGCCTGACTCCGAGCCAGTGAGGCATCTCCGAGGCCTCCTTTCCTAATATTGAAATGGGCATGATAAGACTGACCTCATGGGACTAGTGATGAGGATTCGCTGAGATAAATATAGTGAAAGCTCACACTCCCTGCATGAGAAGTGATGTCAACACAACTCTGGACTGAAGTCCTTAAGTCCCAGCGTACAGTGACCGAATTCACAGACGCCTTGCATGCAACATGAAACGGTCCCGGATCTAAGACCGCTCAAGGAGGTGGGGCGTTTTTCCGTCCTAATTTTAACCTCTAGAGCACCAGGTCATTCTGATCCTGGAACGCATTTAATAAAATAAAATTAAAAAGATTCCTGGGGCTGCCCCTATCCTGAGCCAGGATCCAGTGGCAGCGCCATAGGCTCTCATGCCCCACCCTCTGCCTGGGCAGCCTAGACAAGGACTTGGGGCCAGGCGCGGCACCGGGCACCGTGTCGCATTGGCCTGGAAAGGGCTGTCCCCAACAGGGAGAGCATCTTAAAGCCTGAATCCCTGCAGCGTGTCAGCCGGCTCCAAGCGGGAAGGCTGTTTGCAGGGGTATCTGCCATGTAAGCCGACTTCCCTATCCCAGGAAGCCTAGGCCTTATCAGCGATGGACCCCCAGGCTGCAAATTCTTCCAAGAAAACAACTTTAGGCCTGAATGCTTCTGGCCAGGGTCGTGGGCTGCGCCCTGCCAAGCAAGTTAGTACTTTGAGAAGCGGGACTACGTGTCCCACAGGAGAACCGGAGCACCTCTCTCTGGCTCTACTGCCATGCTAGGATGCTATCCTGCAGAGTCAGAGAACTCGAGGGAACAGCGCTGCCTTTCCAGCCGCCGGCATCCTCACTCAGGCCCTGGTCCCTGCCGCCCTCCCGGAGCAGCCCCGGAGCGCACGCCCAGGGGTGCGCCCCGACGCCAGGTTAGGAAGACGCGCGCCCAGGGAGCGCAGACATTCAAGCTGGACTCCAGAGACTAATGGCAAAGATAAAGAAAACAACCGGCGAGGAAAAATCCCCACGTGTTGTGAATGTAGTTTCCGGTAGTTTAAGGTTTTGCATTGAGTCTGGAGAGTGCTCCTGAGCCCGGGCTGTCCAGGAGCTGAGCTTTTGCTGCTCCCTCCCTCGTGCACACCCGAACCCCGTTGGTTCGCTCGCTCCATTCCTTCATCTTTTGCATCAATGCATTTATTCATCTGAGCAACTGTGTCCAAGCGCGCCTGGCTGCGGGCGGCGCAGAGGGACTCAGGGTCGCGGTAACCCCGCCGCCTCTCAATCAGCCTTTACAGAGCCTCGCAAAGCCAGGGCTCGGAGGGCAGAGTTAGAGCACCCGAGCTCCTCGCGCCTGCCAAGTCATCCCGATGCCTGTTCTCCTCGTCGGCGCTGGCCCAGGACGTCAGACTCTCCAGTCTGTTCACGCCCGTGGTTCCCCAGTCGAGGTTGTGCTGGAATCTCCAAGAGCGGATCAGGGGAACCAGACGCAGAAAAGTCAAGGCGCAGGGACTGCAGCGCCGGGTCCTGCGGGGTCGGAGAGCGGCGAGATGGGATGAGATGGGATGAGACCCACTGGGCCCAGTGTCCCACCGCGCAGCGATCCTACAATCCTACGAGTAAACTAACCTGATGGCACTTGTCTCTTAAATGGCTTTCTTTTCTTTCCCTTCCCTTCATCCTTGTCCCTCTCTCCCTTGCTTATTCACTCTCCCCTCACTCCCTCTTCTTTTTCTTCCTCTCGTCTCCCTCCCTCCTCCCTCCACCCTTCTTTGTTTCTTTGCTCCTGGTTCTCTGAACTCTGGTTTACAGGAATGCAGGACCTGAAATCAGAAACTCCCAGGTCCAAGTTGGTTGCAACTTGCAGTGTAAGAATTCAGCCTCTCTTGGTTCACCTCTAAAATGAGCATAATACGGGGTCACCGATAAGCMATCTGTGAAAACTCCTCACAAATGTTAATAAACGGTGGAATATAAAAATTAAGAGTGGGTGAATTTTAAAAGTTAAAAGGGTCAGGCCTCCAAAGCTTGCCCCTCCAGGAGCTTCCCTTATTCTGTTCCAGTCTTTTAGTGAAGCGGGCAAGAAGAAAGGGAGGGGGAGGGGGAATCTGTGGTACACTCCTTGCACTGCCYGATAACCCTGGCATCCACTCCAGATGGCTACAGACTTGACGCTTTCAGCTTGCTTACAGTGTGGCCCTGGTGTGGCTGGGGCACCCCTGGCCAGGCCAAGGGTAGGGCCACAGTGTCTGCTTTGGAGGACTGCCACAGCCCCCACGATGGGCTGGAGCAAGTTGTTTCTTGCCCCTCGACCCAGGCTGGCGGTAGAAATCATGCTCATCACCATCTTTGTTCACACTGATTTGTCTGGACTGGATTGACAGTCTTCACAAAGCAAGTTCCTGCCTCCACACAACCATCTGTGAAGCGGGTGAAGCAGAGACCTCAACTCATATCTCTGACCCTCCAGCCTTTGGAACTGGTTCCTGTGTGCCCAAGGGAAGGGAAGGGACACTCACCAGTCACTGCATTCCTTTGCCCTTTGCCCTGTCCAGTCTGACCTCTGGAAATTCTAGCAGACCTTTTCTCGTCCTCATAACTCAAGTTAGAGGCATGTCCTGGACAAAGTAAGTGAAAAGCAAGTATTAACCCAGTTGACCACAGGTGCGGTGCAGCTGGAGAACTGGAGACCTGGCCTCTCTCTTGTCTCCTCCGTGGCTAGTCTAGAATCAGCAGCCCTAATTTCCTTAAGTCACTGCACTTGGAGTTCCTTATTTTAACCTACAGACATCTCTTAAGTCATTTAGGAGAATCCGTCAAAGCTCCTAATTTAGAATGACTTCTGGGGTGAAAATACAGAGCAGGGATTTGATGTGCGCCTGAGGCTTAACTGAACCTACAGAAGCAGGTAGAACCAGGACAGAGTTTCTCAGGCTCTTGGGGTCAATAGCTCTTCCATATGGACCTAGCGGGGAAAGGGGAAAGGAAGAGAGCTTCCATACTAGATTGCTTCTGCACATGGGTAGTGTAGACTCCTTATGACATCAAAATCCTTTTGTAAGAGTTGATTAATAGTAGCAAAATACCAAGTACAGAAACCCATGTTTTCTTGGGGTTCTCCAAATCAAGACATCTGTGTTCCWATAGCACCCCCACCCCACAGGCCTGTCAGTTCTGCCAGACAAATCACGCCTCCCAGGGAGTGTCTGGAGACTCCTTGGTGGGAAGAACCCTGACTGGGAGCTAGAATCCAAGACTGCAGGTTGACCTGCCACTACTGGTGCAAACGCTAGTAAGTCACTTACCTGGTTAATTCCCAGGACCGGAGCCTCACCGAGGCCCTGTGAGGTGAGTGGCCAGTTCTGTGCACTCTCCAGGACAGACAAGCCGATAATGCTTGTTGTATGGCTAGTGTTTGCTTCTCCCTAGCACTGAGGGGCAGGAGAGTTCCAAGTGAGGAACAAATTTTTTCTACCCTAATTTTCTTCCATTGCACCTAGAATGATGATCAGGTTTCCTCGAAGGGGGCATGTGCCCAGATACTGCACACCTATGATCTTTATTTAATTGGCCTGAAGCTAAACTTTCAAATTCAGTGGCAACATCAACAAATGACAAGAAGACACAAAGGCTGGTTCAAAGGAAAATTTTCTTTTTCTTGACCCTACTGCTTCCTTCACAGTGCCTAGAGGAAAAAGAGCAAGCGAGCAGGAAGCACCTATAATAAACCGAGTGGAAAAGAAGGCTTTGCCTCCGCAGT